TATTTATAGATCAGTATAGAGCTTATCAGGCGACCCTTTTATTACAGCTTCAAGTCTTATGTCTTGGTAGTTTATATATTCGTCAAATAATTTCTCTAAAAGCTCAGAACATTTAACGTTTAAGCAGAAAGGCCATATCATAAGAAAACTTCACCAGGTAAATCCTTTTATTGCTAGTTGTAATAACATTATTTGTTCTAATAGTCTTTATTTGCTGCAATATAAAGCGGTTGGGGTCAGCCGCTGTCTCCATATGTATTGTTGCTGATCCAATGCAATCCTTGATGACAGCAGGGCTGCAATTTTCAGATCTTACAAATCCTAAATAATCTGATTTTTTTTCTTGAATTTGACAATAGGTTCAATGCATTTCAAAGGCCTCCTTAGTAAACAACTCTGCAGAGCACCTCTATAATGTGAGAGAACATGAAATCCCATCATGGATGTGTGGTTTACAAACTGTTGACACTATTTGATGCTGTTTTGGAAATAAAGACCTAAATCTCTGAGGCATGACACATTTTTATTGTAGGCCACAACATATTCAGCCAATTCTCAAAGCAAAAGGGGCTCCAAAAAGGCGCCATTAAAGGGAACCATATGTCTGTGAGTACAAAGCATTAGTTTGAAGGAACTATTTTTGTGCACCTACAGTAGTTGACTTTAACCATTCCTACCTGCTTGATTGGTGGTAATGGTGACAGCAGCATATTGCCTCATTTGAGGTGCCAGTGATGATACGCCATTCTGTGCTTCAATCTCGAAGGTGTAATTAGTATGAGCCAACAGGTCAGCCACGGTTACGGTAGTATTGCGGAGGCCCGTTGCTCTTGGCAAAAAGCGGACGTTGCTCCGACAAGGCTCGCAACGAAGGGTCCCACTGGTGCTCCCATTGGCAGCGATACCCTGGCATCGTTTGCAAAGAACATTAAAAATTATATCCCTGCGTCCTCCTGTGTCCTCTGGCCAGCTCCAGTCCAGGATGACTGAGGTCTCATTGATGGAGGATATCACATTACGGGGGGATGAGGGGGGTCCTGGTGGATGGATAAAAGAGGAGGTTAAGGCCATTTAACCCTATAATGCCAAATGTATC